TGTGGGGACACGGGCGCTGAAAGGGGAAAGGCCTCCATCCTCACTCGGGAGGTCAGGAGGCCGGTGGTGCTGACGGTGCTGACGTCTGTCCTCTAGCTTGGGTCACACCCCAGCCTCCCCTCAGGCCCAGCTAGTTCCAGCCCCGCCCCGGCCCAGGACAGGCCCACGAGGCTGCGAGGACCTGCGGACGCCAACAGTCTGGTCCCTAAAGGGGGAAATGCCCGTCCTGTCCAGTGAGACAGGAGAAGGGGGTGAGCGCCCAGAGCAGCTCGTCTCAAGGTGTTTAGATGGAAGAGGGGGTCGGATGCCAACCCCGGAGCCCAATGCGGAACTGGACTGAGGCGTGAGCTGTCCCAGAGCCCAGCCAGGAGGGGGCGCTGCGAGCTCGGAGGGGGGCTGGGGTCCTACAGCCCGGCCTCCCAGGGGGTCCCACTGGCTGCGCAGGGTCCGCCAGGTCGGGAGTGCTTCACTGTCCCTGGAAACTCAGGATGGTTCGTAAAAAAAGCTTAAATCTGAAAAGACCAAAAGCACCGAGTGCCTCACCTTGATTTGCTCGACGCGGCCTCCAGAGAGCTCCCGGATGTGCGTGAGGCTGTAGGTGAGGCCGGAGGGGCTGAAAAAGGCGATGCTGGCCGGGATGCCCTGGGGAGGACCAGAGCAGGGCCTTGCTGGTGCTGAGGGAGAAAGCCCCCAGCTCGACTCCAAGGACCCCCAAGCCCCCAGGTAGCCCCCCAGCCGGCGGGCCCCCGATGGGTGCTGGCCCGGCTCCTCCGTAGAGAGGACTCAGACGACGGGGGTTTAGAGAGGGGGTGCGATCGAGAGGCTGGCACAGCTCCTGGAGGCTCTGCAGCCCCGGTCCGTCTGCCTGGCCAAGGACACAGGCACCGAGCAAGCCAGGCAGCACTGGAGCCTGCTCTCTGCCAACAGCCCCTCCTTCCCGGAAATGAGCAGACAGCAGGTGGACGGCCTCCTGTGCTGGGGAGCCAACTGCATGCCCACCTGCGTCTACTGAACCTGGGCTGGAAAGCGTCCACCCCTCGCACGGGCGCCCGTCCGCACTCCCCCACGGAAGCCTGCAGCAGCCCGGCTGCCAAGTCCACCCAGACTCCCAGCCTCTCCCGACAGCTCCTAGGCCCTGCTATGAGCATCCTCAGGCCCCGTCTCTCAGGCTTCCAGGCCTCAGGTGCTGTTTAACCCCGTGAAACCACCACACGGTCTATTCCCAGCTCACAGACAGGGATGAAGCCTCCGCGAGGCCTCGGATGGGAGGGGAACCATGCAGAGGCCACACCTCACCTCTGCCTCCACCACGGTACCCGCCTGCGTGAGCCCCCCTGGAAACGATGCCCCCTGCCTCCACCACGGCGCCTGCCTGTCCAAGCTCCCCGGAAAGGCGCCCACCTGCTTGGAGTAGTAGCTGTCCAGGTTCACTTGGATTCCTGGGTGGGGGATCTTCCGATAGACAATGATGCTTTCCATGGGAATCCCTGGACACGATCAAAACCGGGAAACAGAGCTATTGCCCTGGGAGGGGCCATGAGTTAGGAGCCCAAGGGCATCCCAGCTTGGCCTCCCAGGCCACGTGCTCCTGGATGAGCCACTGCCCCCCAGGGGCCCCAGGGACCCACTGTAGACGGATGGACTAGGCTCCGAGGGGTCTCATGTTCCCGTTCCATTTGGGGACTCCACATCCCCCGGGTCTGCAGGGAGGAGGAGGCCCAGAGTGACAGCATAGTGTCAGTCACAGACCCCAGGCAGGGCGGGCGGCCCCTGGGCATCAGGCTCAGAAATGAACGGACAGCACACCTCTCAGGAGCGACGCTCACCCGTTCACCCCAAACCCACGGAAGAAGCGGGCGTGCCAGGCCTCTGGTTCATACGTGGCCTCCGGGGCGCCCGGGGCCACGCTGTTTCTCCTGTTCTTGTTCCAAAGGCCAACGCCCTTGCTGGTCCTGTTGCCCCGAGCCCTGCCAGGGCCCCGGGCCGCGCTCAGAGACAGCCGCTAACACTGAGCGCTGGTCTCCCTGTGGACCCGGAAGGTGAAGGCTACAGGCCTGCGATGGCCCCGGGGACTGTGCTCTGTGTGGACAGCTGCCCGGCTGGGACGAGGGGGGTGACGTGATCATTACAGGTCTCGGCTGCTTCGGAGGCCAGGGGCGTGCTACTCACAGACGCTCAGGCAGCTCTGAGGCGGCTCTGTTCTACCCATTTCACAGACCAGAGCCGGATGCAGAGGTGGTGCCCTCCTGGCCCACACCCTGATGCAGTCCGTTCGGTCTCACCCTGAAGTTCACACTCCACACCGTGGTGACGCCCCCTGGCCCAGACCCGCTGTGACAGGAGAGGGTGTGCAGGTGACATCTGCCAACACCACGGGATTCCTCTCTGGGTTAGAGGCTCCAGGGCACGGCTGGTTCCCGTACAGTGAGCCCGGAGCCAGGACGGAGGGGAGCGAGCCTGGAGGGTGAGCTGCAGGACGCACCGGCCCTCGTGGATCATCCTGGATGTCCTCTCGGTGCGAACCCTGCCCAGGTCACCTCCACCCCCTCCTGTGACACTCAGTGACCACATGCGCCTCAGGTCCTGCCGGGCCCTGTGCCTGCAGTCTCTGCAGCCCTGACTACGGCCACCCCGGAAGCAAGAAGAGCATGCCGATACCTTTGTCCTTGAGCATCTGCGGCAGCGCTTCTCCCCTGAGGGCTCCACAGGGAAACAGCAGAGGCAGGGCAGGCGGCTCCCCTGTGGACACACCCGCTCAGCCCAGCCCGAGCCCCATCCCCGGACGCTCTGTGCCGGGTTCGCGTTGCCTCTAGTCCCTGGTGCAGGGCAGCGGAGTGGGCTGGGTCTCAAGCACAGACAAGGGCCCAGGGGTGGCTTACACTGCGAAGGCCCCAGGGCCTGGCTCCCAGACCCACACTGGGGGCCTCTCCTACTCACTGGAACAGACATATTCTGCGAGCTTCTCGGCGTTCCCACTGCTTTCTCCTTCGGCTTCCAGGCCAAGTTTCTTCACTGGAAAACAGCAAACACGTCTCCCATGGCTCCCAGAGCCCCGCTGCTCCTGGGCTGCCCTTAAGGGGCAAACGCCAAGGTGCGCTCCACACACAGTCCCCGAGGCCGGCCTGGCGGAGGGGCCGGGCTGCTCTGATGGAGGTGCCGGTCCTGGGCCCAGGCTTCCTGGGCCTGTGGCTCTGGGTGATGCTCCAACTTCTCTAAGCCCCACTGAGCGTGTCCGTGGGGGGAGACACAGCGGGTGGGGCTGCTTTACGGCTGCAGGCGATGGGAGCAAGCTGCCCGCCCTCTCCCTTCTCCCCTCCGTGAGCTCCAGAGGGAGGTGGTCTTGGGTCAGGTGGGAGCCTTTAGGATCTGTGGACAGTGGCGAGGCCTCATCCTGGGAGGCAGCAAGCCAGCCCCTCCAGGAAGGTGGGGGCTGACATGGCGGGAATGAGGGAGGGAGGTGCTGACCAGCTGCCAGGCCTGCAGGTGATTTAGGGGGAGGGCTGTGTCCCCCACTTTCGTGAGCCTCCTGCTGCTACAGCCCATTCCGGGCGGAGCACTGGTCACCCCGCTGAGGATGGGGAGGAGGGCTGGGCCCGGGCGGCGGGGTCAGTGAGGAATGTGGACCGTCTCTGAGAAAGGAGGTGCTCACACGAGCCTGGCGAATGCCAAGCTGCTGCTCTAAGGTCAACACGCCAGCCTTTCATTTACATCATGACCAGCGCTGAGCCCAGAGAAAAGTCACAGGCCACTGTGACTGTCCAGGAACCAGGCCCTGCCTGTGCTGCAGTGCCGGCCTCGGTTGGGTCCGGATGGGCTCAGTGCACCCAGAACCTTGAGACCTTCCACGGGGACGCAGGTCTGCACAGCACAGCTGGGCCCCCGCTGGCACCACAGGGCGTCTGTGTGCTTCTCCTTGCGCACCCGGCCCGCGGGAGCCACCTGAGCCTCCTGCACGGGGTCGGCTCAACCCCAGCCCCGCGCTTCTCCCCGGAGCTGGTGCGGAGGCCCAGGAGCTGAAAGTTCCTGCTCTAATCCCGGGGCTGCTTCCCCAGCAACAACCTGCTCCAGCGTGAGGGCCTTCCAGAAGTCAGCGCATTAAAGTGAACTTGGCGGAGGTGCTGGAGGCTTGTTATGAATAACCAGACACCTCTCTGTTCATCGCCTGGAAACATCAAGTTCTGGGAGCTCCGTGCAGGAGCAGGGACGGAGACTGAATGCACAGGGTGTCCCGAAACCTGTGCATGCACGCTGAACAGTCACAAAGGCGGAGTTTATTAAATACATTTCAGCTGTAAAGTGTGTACACATTTTGGGGGACACCCTGTATTATGAATCACAACATCACGGTCACGGTTTTGGTGTTTATTTTTGCCCCAATTGCTTACCTAGAGAGGCCGTGGCATTTCCAACCACATACACCGGCTTAGCGTTCCATGTTTCTCTCAGAGACTTTTTCCAGACTGGAAAACAGGAAATTACACGTGTGTTGCAAAGACCAGAGGCCATGAGAGCTGCTGCCCAGGCGCCTGTTCATCCTAAACCGTGGGAACAAGGCAACCTAGTAATACATGAACCTAAAGAGCAGCCCCCCACACTAACCGCCCTCCCCCCTTGCGCTGTCCACATCTGCAGGGTCACCTGCCCAGGTCCTAGCTGGCTCCAGTGCAAGGGATGCCACTGAGGCAGGTATCCTTGGGCCACTTTACAACAAGGAAACAGGCTCAGTGAGGTCAGGGACTCACCAAGGTCGGAATGACCCCTGAACCCAGGCCCAGCTCACTGCAAGCCCTTTGGGTAAGCACCACCCTGCTACCTCCACTCATCACCATGACGGCCAGGCCTGGCTGACTGGCTCCATGGCCTTGGACTAGTGCCCACTCTTGCCAAGCCTCAGTCTTCTCATCTGTGAAAGAAGGACCACAGGGTGTGTGCCCCTGGGTTAGAGGAGATGATGACTGCAAAGTGATGGAGCCTGGTATACAGTAGGCACTCCATAAACGTTAGCGCGAAGGTGTTCCTTCGGACAGACCAAGGTGGCGGCTCGGTCTGAAGGTGGGACAGCAAGAATCGCTTACAGAAGGCCATTTTCTGCCCCCTCCAAAGGCTACACAAACATGAAATAACTCGGTACCTAAATACCTTAGAGCTAAGAGTCACTGCAGTGTTCAAACCTGATTTTTGGAATCCAGTATCGCCAACGGGAGGAATCCTGCCCTCACCTTCGCTTTTCCCGTCCTGCTCCAGGCTCAGCTCCACCGCTTCCACTGCCCTGGGGCTGGTGAAAATGAGCCCTCCGTAGCCTTCCGGACGCGACAGCTGCACACCAAACCCAAAGGCACTTTGTGATGAGCTCCACATTACCCAGAATTCCAAATGCTCACAGAGTGGTGGGCAAACTAATCCATTCTGTCCATCTATCCATCCATTTATCCGTCCACCCACCCACCCACTCATCACTTACTGAGAGCTGGGTGTGTGTGCCTGGTCCTATTCTAAGTGAATTCATTATTTGTAGCATCTCCCTCAAGTGGCTCAGCGTCAAGGGGAGAGACAGCAGGTGCTATGTAGGGTGTGGGCGTGACGACCAGAGCGGGGCACTGGGACTCCGCCTGGGCAGGGGGAGCAGGCCGGAGGCAGACCTGACCTGTATCTGTAATAAAACTGGACTATGTACTGGGGTGGTGTCCAGGCTGAAGCCCTGACTTTCAAAGACAGCGGTGATACAACCTGCTGCCCCTTTCCTCGGGGCAGGCTCCGGGCCGCCGTGTACACCCCGCCACGGAGTCTGTGAAAGTGCCTGGGAGATGGGACTGTTCTCACCCCTCGGGTTAAACTCAGAGGCGGGAGCGGCTGTGGGAGAGGCTGAGATGTGGCGTGCTCCCTGCATAGCCAGAACCCCTCCCTCACGGGCAGACCGGCTGGTGGTGAAGGAGAGGTTGCTGAAGAAACTGGAGGACTTTTCTGAGCTGAGGTCCTAGAAATGATCTCAATGGTGAAGTCTCTTGTTCCCTTTTAAAGCTGGTTGTGGAAAAGCAAGCCAACGGGGCCTCGCCCGCAACCCAGGCACGGAGCGTGGCAGGTGCCACTCGATATCCGCTGAGTTGAACGAACACCGGATATTCAGCTCAAACGGAACGAGGAACCAGGAAGGCTCTTCTGAGAGCGAGGGGCGGGTTGTGGTGGGAAGGACAGGAGGGTGGGCCTGGTGCTGCGGGGCACTGCGCCTTTACCCTGAAACCTCTGGCCTCACTGGACTGGGCAGTGTGGGTCCCTCCTGCCCGGGCGGCAGGGCCGAGGCTGCGGGGACAGGTCCTGGTCTTGAGCCTCAGCACTGCCTCTTGTGGGCCAGAGGCCTGGGCCACGCTGCCCGCTGGGCCCCCATTGCTGCAGGGAAAGGAGCGCCTACAGGCCGCCTGCAGAGGTCAGGGGTGGGGCCAGAGGGCAGGTCTGAACTGCAGGCAGCGCCCTCCCCACCTGCTCTCCTGCCGCCTTCAGGTCAGGGCGGAGCTGATGGAGGCTCAGGTGACCCACAGCCGATGGGATCCGGAGCTAGTGGGGTGCCGCCCAGTTTAGAAGGTGGGCAGTAAAACGAGGGAAGGAAGAAAGCCCTGGGCTGGGGCCGGCACGGATTCTACAGAAACCAGATGTGTCGCACGTAGCCATCACGGTGCTCAGACACCGGCAGACCTTACCTTCTCTGACAGAGTGGGAAGAGACAGAAACTCAAATGACAAAACAGGGATCAAAGTGGCTTCCAGTCCGTGCAATCCTAACTCCTGCAGACGAAAGAACAGGCTCTGGGTTGGCCAGGCTGCCTGAAGGAGGGCAAGGGCGGGGGTCACATT